TTCTTCTTCCTTTCCAGATTTGGGTTTTCTCAAACCCAGATTTGGGTTCTCTCAACCCAAATACCATGCTAGAGTAACGATGAACGGAGTGGATTCTTCGATTGGAACCAGGTAACATCATCTTCGACACAATGAGCTTCTCCACACCTTAAAACTCCTAAATCCACATATTACATTTACAGACAAATCCACAAGCAGGATTCAACAGATACCAAAATTAGGAACGATAAAGCATACCATCTGTCACGCCCCAACCCAAAAGTCAAGTCATGACAAATGCCACACATCTATAAGGATGTATCCATAAATGTGCAAGGCTACCACACCTAAACAACTTTTAATATCTAAATGTAATTAAGTTAAATTCTATACTAAACTCCATCTTTATTAACATGTACAGGGAATTGGTCAAATCCAAACACTTGATCCTCACTTTATAAAATCCCACATAAATCTCATAGCAATAGATCATAGCAAATAAGTCTTCATTTCTAAATATTCCACAATCCAGAAATAACTTAAACTAAACCAAAGAAGTACTGTAGGACTGTTGCACCTCTCACTTCCAAATGCAACTCCAAATGCAACTCCAAATGCTCACTCTTCTGTACCTGAAATGAGATGAGATTTTGAAGCATAAGCTAGATAGCTCAGTAAAAGTATACCCATCTAGTTTGATTAAGCATTATATTTCAGTGAAAATAATAATTAAATAAAGTAAGCAACTTCACAATGAGGAAACCACATTCCAAACCAAATGAAAAAGAAAACAACAAATACATGTTCTTAGGTTGCATCACACTCCAAATATAACATCACACTCTACATCACACTCCATGATAAATAGATTCCGGGACTACTATTAGTACCCTCAATATACCCCTGAGGAACGGGTCAAGTTAACCAACTAACCAAAAACATGAAAACCAAGTATTAAAAATCATTACCAATTTAATATACCACACTCTTCGGTAGAAAATAGTCCCCACTCAAAATGCTTGATCAATACTCATCTCATTTCATTATAAAATATTTTTATTTTTAAAACATAGTAACAAGATAAAATTATATAAAATACATTGAAAAGGTAAAATAAATTTTAATAAAACAAACCTTTTAAAAGGATACTAAGGGGTATAACTACTTACCTCAAAAACTATCTTTCAATTACAATTACCACACAACTATTTGAAACCTAAATAAACATCAAAGTAAACATAATTTAATCACTAAGTAAAAATGTATCCTATATTTATCAAGCACCTATTAAAATAATTCTATAACCTATGCTACTGATATACTCTTCTTCAAACCCAACCACTCCAACACACACTATTAGAAACTAACAACCTAAATAAATAATTTCCCCTTCAAAATTCCTCACGCCACCACCCAAATTCACTATCTTATTGTCAATACCAAAATCCATTTGCTACAGTAAAATCAATTTCACCAACCATGCTTCTACCCGAACTCTTCATTCCAAATTCCTAATACTTCAAGCTTTAGAAGATAATTTACATTGGATTTATTCTAGTATTGACAAATCCCTAAAATTCAGTTCCCCCTTGTAGGCAAGAGAAAAAGACGATCCTGTTCACTAGAAAATTGAAACTGTCGAATTGAATCTGATTTGGGTTTTCACAAAAAGGAAATATTGCTAATTGGTCCCTAAGCTTAATTATAAGGTTCTAGTCCATGAGTTCCTCACCTCATTATAATTTTAACTCCAAATTTAATCCCATCACATATATACCCTCTAAGAGCTTAAATAATTTATTTAAATCTTAAGTAAGAAATCTTTGGGTATTACACTATCACACTTGATACCAATCACAATTATGAAACAATAGAAAAAAAAAATCTTGAGGAAATTGAAATTACAAGCTAAATGCACAACAAAACAGAAATAGAATAGACCCATTGTTATCAACAACCTTGGCGGTGTACTCAATCTGGAAAACTCTACTGTCCGAAGAGAAGGTGGTGACGAAGAGATTGTAACCTGTTTCAATGTTGCTCATCTTGGCTTTCCCATTTTCTGCTTATTTAAGTGTCGTTTCTTACTACGATTTTGAAGTTTGAGAATTAGGAGAGAAACTAGGTCTCCATTTCAAATGTAAAAAAGAAACATTTTTATGAAATAAAAGTAAGTTTTTCTTAGAAATTTTCGTTTTCTTAAACGATTCACCAACTATTTGGCAAAATTTTAGCCAAAGGTTTGAGGAGAACCTTCTGTATTTGCATCCATATCTACTAGATGCTGAAGTGTCATTTATTAATTTGCTAAAGGAAGGCATAGTTGTTGTTGAAGCTGGGTTGAGAGAACCTAGATCTGGGTTTGAGAAAGCCCAGATCTGGGTTTGAGAAAGCCCAGATCTGGAGAGGAAGAAGAAGAGAGAAGAGAGAAGAGAGAGAGAAAGAATAAGAAAGAAGAAGGATGAGCAGGGAAAGGAAGGAGGAAGGAGGAAGGCTGATAAAGAAATGAGGAGGCCAACTACTTGAAGGATTGAGAGAGGAAAGGAGGAAAAAGATTAAATTTTTTTTTTCTTTAAGGTTGAAAAATTGTAAAATAAGGATAAAAAATGTCAAATTATAAATAAAAAAATATTTTAACTTACACGTCATTTAAAAAAATGCCATGTGGGTAAGTTAAAAAATGTCATGTGGGCCCCAATAAAAGGGAAAACTAAGAAGGTGACAAAATTATGTGTTAAAAAACATGTTATGGTAACAAAATTTTTTTAGTTGGATTTACACGTCATTAAGATTAAAAAAATCTCGTGATTTTGTGTCATTTTAGCATACCACCTGTCCATTGAATTGACAGAAGAATTATTTTGGTATCGAAAATGAAAATTTAGGGATAGTTTTAATATTTTTTAAAGTTAAAGGATAATTTTGATACCAAATTAAAAAGTTGAGGGACCAAAATAGTATTTAAATCTATTTTCTATCCAACGAGTGTAAATGTGTAGCTGCACTATTTTCAATTCAGGACTCAATTATTAATTAATTTGGGAGGGGGCCGTGATTAAACGGCGACTGCTTTTCTCGTTTCAAATTTCCGAGGCAAAGGTGCGCGAATGAAATAAACGCCGGGCTAAGCAGCTGAGAATGAACAACAGGCGTCAACATTGCCTTTCCATGCTCAGAATCTGCAAAACCCTGAAGGCCATCAAACAAATTCACGCTTCTCTCGTCACAACCGGCCACCACACCGATCCCTTCTTCGCCGGAAAACTCCTTCTCCATTGCGCCGTCACAATTTCCGATGCTCTAGACTACGCTCGCACTCTCTTCCTTCACTTTCCAAACCCAGATGTTTTCATGTACAACACGCTTATTCGAGGATTCTCGGAATCGGGTACGCCCCAAAACGCAATATTTACCTTTATGGATATGTGCAGAAAATCAGTGGACCCACCTGATAGCTTCTCTTTCGCGTTTGTTCTTAAAGCCGCTGCGAATTACAGGTCACTGAAAGATGGGATTCAACTGCATTGTCAAGCTTTGCGTCATGGTCTTGATACCCATTTGTTTGTTGGGACGACCTTGATAAGCATGTATGGAGAATGTGGGTCTGTTCAGTTTGCGGGCAAGGTGTTCGAGGAAATACGACAACCAAACGTGGTTATGTGGAATGCGATAGTTACTGCATGTTTTAGGAGTGGTGATGTTAAGGGTGCACAGAAGATGTTTGATCGGATGCCTGTCAAGGATTTGACTTCGTCCAATATAATGCTTGCTGGGTACGCAAAAGCTGGGGAGCTTGAACTCGCAAAGAAGGTGTTTTTGGAGATGTCCCTCAAGGATGATGTTTCTTGGAGCACTATGATCGCTGGTTTTGCCCATAATGGATGCTTTGATGAAGCTTTTGGATATTTCGGGGAGTTGCAGAGGGTGGGGATGAAAGCAAATATGGTGACCTTGACTACTGTCCTCTCTGTGTGTGCGCAGATGGGGGCATTTGATTTTGGGAAAATCCTACATGGATTTATAGAGAAATCTGGGTTTAGCTGGATTATTTCAGTGAATAATGCTCTGATTGATACATATTCAAAGTGTGGAAATGTGGGGATGGCTCGTTTGGTCTTTGAGAGAATGCCTGATAAAAAGAGCATTGTTTCTTGGACTTCAATGATAGCAGGGCTTGCAATGCAGGGTCATGGAGAACAAGCAATACAACTTTTTAAAGAAATGGAAGATTCTGGAATCAGGCCTGATGGCATCACCTGCACTTCGATCCTCTATGCTTGTAGTCATGCTGGTTTTATTGAACAAGGATGTGCATATTTTTCTAAGATGATGGATGTTTATAATATAGAACCGACAATTGAGCACTACGGTTGTATGGTTGATTTGTATGGTCGAGCTGGTAAGCTGCAAAAGGCTTTTGAATTTGCATGTAAAATGCAAATACCTCCAAATGACATTATTTGGCGAACTCTTCTTGGTGCTTGCAGCATTCATGGTAATGTTGAGTTGGCAGAGCATGTGAAGGACAAGCTTTCTGAGCTAGATCCCAACAATTCAGGAGATCATGTCCTGCTGTCAAACATATATGCCGTTGCAGGAAAATGGAAGGATGTTGCCACTGTGAGAAGATCAATGACAGATCAGAAAATTAAGAAAACTCCTGGTTGGAGTATGATTCAAGTGGACAAGTTTATCTATAGTTTTGTGGCCGGTGAAAAGCCGAATGAGATCACAAAGGAAGCTTTTGATAAGCTGAGAGAGATAATGTTAAGGCTCAGGGTTGAAGGAGGTTATGTTCTAGAAGTTGTAAGTGTTCTACATGACATAGAAGAGGAAGAAAAGGAAGATTCAGTGTCTAAACACAGTGAGAAGCTTGCTGTAGCTTTTGGGATTGCAAGGCTGTGCAAGGGAAAGGTTATAAGGATAGTGAAGAATTTGAGGATATGTAGGGACTGTCATACATTTATGAAGCTAATCTCGAAGGTTTATGGATTGGAAATTATGGTCAGAGATAGGAGTCGCTTCCATTCCTTCAGTAATGGCTCTTGTTCATGTAAAGATTATTGGTAACCTTTGAGTAGTATGTCATGACCATTCACATGACTGTAACTACCTTGCTTTGGTGCAGCTAAGAAGAACATTAAGTTGGTGCTAGAGAAGGAGAAAAGTTGCAGACAGAATTGGTGAGCCATATATCTGGTCATTAAGCAAAGCCTAATGAAGAAAATATCAATGAAGTAGCCATTAATTTGAAGTAAGTTGCTGAATCAAAGGAAAAAAATTGTAAACTAATAATTTACTAAACTAACGGGGGATCTTGAATTATGCATACAAAGAAAAAGAGCTTGGAGTGAATCATTCTTTGCCAAGAATTCATCTCTTCAGGTGATCTATTCAGGTCACAGTACTCATCCGATGAAAACACCGAGTCTTGCTCAGGCCCCAAGCAGCTTAGCATGGTTACCCATTTCGGTTGCTTGACTGTTGCAATGGTTACTTGGATTCTTTGTAATGTACATACCATTTAGTCAGATTTTCAAATGAAGATGGCAAGAATGGGATGCCTGAGATACTTCTATCTTTGAACTGATGAGAAGAAACATTGTTAAAGGCAAATGGATGTGGGAAGAGAATAAGAATTAATTGTGGCATTACATCTTTATGAAAAAGCTACCATTATAGAAGTTTTTGGACTGTCAACACTCCAGCTAATGCTTCTTGGAGCTGGAGAAAAATTCTCAAACTCAGGCCACTAGAAAGTGGTTTACGTAAGAATTTAGTTAGTGATGAGCGTACTCTATCCCCTGTGGCATGATTCACGGCATCCAGATGGTCCCTTTGTTGAAACTTATGGGGATAAGATGCAAGCTCTCTTTGGTGGTGAATGGTAATTTCTGGAGTTGGCCTCCTGTCAGATTGGATGCACATTTTTGAGGATCCGGGTTGCTTTATTGGACAGATTGTATCCCAAGCAAAGGCAAGTTGATTCCATTCTTTGACTGCCTTCAACCTCAGGTAAATTTATAAACGGGCAACACTTGGAATCATATAAAGGAGAGGCAAGGTCGGGTTCCTTGGAAAAAACTAATATGATATGTTCTCTCTTTACCTAAGCACGGTATTATTTGTAGGCTGGCTATTCTAAATAGGCAGTCAAGGCAAGGCAGAAATTATAAATTTCTAACAAATGTGTTTTTGTGCAAACGTGGCTATTGAAACGCGTGAGTATCTATTCTTCTTATGCAATATTCTGGCAAAGTTCGGCAGTAGCTCCCGATTAAAGCAAGTATCCTTGGTTCCTGGATGAACTTGTTGTCTTGGTCAGCTGAAAAAACTGGAAGAAAATCCTTAAATATTTTATACGCTAATTAAGCTGGCATGGGATGCGCCCATCGACCATGTCTGAACAGAAAGAAAAAAACAAAGTTCAGAATTTTTTCACCCCTGAAGTTATCCATTTGATTGTAACAGATGTACGCGATAGAATTCTTGGATTTGCCAAGACTGATGCATCGTCTATGCCAAAGGTTTTCGCAATGAATTGGGGAGTGGAATATGCAGTACAGGATTCATAGTGTATGTTGTTTTCTTCGATTGTAGGAGCTCACCACACAGATGTTTTTTTTTTTTTTTAGTATTAATCTCTTAATATGTATAAATTACATTGAGTGTTAATTAATTTGGAGTAAAATCGAGTTAGACCCCATATGAGGAAAGTTTTCATAACGTTTTTTTTTTTTTTTCTATTAACAAGATTTGAACTCAAAATCTTGAACTTTTTCACTCGAATCAACAGGTTATTGGTCACCCATAGATCTTTAATTTGTATTGTTTCTTGGACAATAATAACAACAATAAAACGTTCCACATCAAGCACTCTTACTGCAAGGTGGAATGGAAATAGATAAATTTGTAGTTTAAGATTCAAGTGGTCATCAACCGTTCGAAAGTCGCTGATACAACCATTCTGATTTGTCCAGTATTTTGCTGATCTTGCAGGTGGCAATCATCACCTCAACAGTGGTATGCAGGATTCATATGGCAGGAAATTGTTATAGCACACCAATAATAATGTTATGGTTATAAAAAAATATATATATTATCTTTAAAAATATTAATTTTATTTATTTTAATCGATAAAAATAATTAATACTTAATATAATAATTATATTATTAGTTAATAAATTAAATATATATATATATATATCAATCTCAATTTTAAAAAAAATTAGAATTTTAATATTAAATTATATCATTTTATTTAATTAAAACATAATTTAAAATTTATAAATTTATTTTATCAAATATTAATATTTAAATTTAAAAATTAATTGAAATTTTGAATTTTGAATTAAAATTTTAATTTTTAAATATAAATTAAAATTTTAATTTTTTTAAGAATCAAAACTAATACATATTAATATTAAATTAAAATCAATTAATAAATTAATATTTTTAATAACATTAATAATATTAATGGTGATAATAATTCCATTCCTGGAGAGTGTTATTTCTAATTCATTCTCATAATTTTTCACGTGAGATTATGAAAAATTGGTTCTTTCTAATAATTAAAATAAATAAATAAATAATAAAACTGGATTTTCAGAGCCAATTATTCATCTCGAGTTGACTTAAATTCATTCCCCCGTAATTTCCCATATTCAAAAAAAAAAAGTCATAAATAATAACCAAAAACCTTAATTAAAATCAACATACAAAAAACATTAAAAATATTTAAATAATATCACAATAATATTGATATTTTCAATAAAAAACTCTTAATTTCTCAATTTTCTTTTACACACATTTTTAAGACGAGAAACTATTTTATAACCCGCCTATTAGTGAATAATAATATAAAGAATACATAGCGTAGTTTAACAATTAAAATTTCAAGATTTTAAATTGAGAATTTTAAATTTAAAACTTAAGTTGGATAAAAGAAAATGTAAGAATAAAAAAATTATTTTTTTATATAATTTATAATTAAATGTAAAAAAAATAATAAAAAAATAACATCAGGGAAGGGTCCCAAATAGAGTTCCCCTTTTTATGTTCTTAAATCTTAATCTTGTAGTTGATTACAGGTGTACAGTCAGACAGAACTTTTTCTCTTTTTAGAAAATAATTTTTTTTTTATAAAGAATTTGAAAAAATTTTATATTTAAGAAAATGAAATAATAAATGTTAAACAATTCAAATTGGCCCCACCTGCCGTATCCATTAATGAAAGGCCAAAAAAGTCAAAGAGGCAAAGAAAATTATCTCAATCAAATTCCATGGCTCTGCTTTGAACTCATTGTCAGTTCAAACTTCAAAGTTCCTTCCTTTCCTCCTCCCAATCCATAATATCAAAACCCATTTGCTTCTTTCTTCCCCTGCCATGGCGTCTTCTGCAACATTCTCCATTTCTTTATCGCCGTCCTTTACTCTCTCTCGCAAAAACGTCAGGCCGTTTCTCTCCCGGTCAGGTTTTTGCGTCAGAGTGAGACCCATTTCAATCAAAGCGTCGTCTACTTCTCTTGATCACTCTACCCTTTCCGTCGCCGGTACAGAACCTTCGATACCCATAAAGGTAAGATTGTTCTTTTTATCCCTTTTTTGTACCTCACTGATTTTAATTTTTTGAAAATTCAAAATTTTGTTGAATTTAGGATGATCCCTTTTCATAATTTTATGTAACAATTCATGGGAAATTGACAAATTAGTAATGTGTTATTTTACTTCAGAGCAATAACTGGCAATGGAAATTCAAGGACAATTTGATTAATATATATTATGAGGAACATGAGAGGGGGGGCAATGGTGCTGCTAAGAATATTCTTATGATTCCAACAATATCTGATGTGAGCACTGTGGAAGAATGGAGATCAGTGGCTAGAGATATTGTTGGAAGAGACGGTAATGTTAATTGGCGGGCTACCATTGTTGATTGGCCTGGTTTGGGATACTCTGACAGGCCAAAGATGGATTATGATGCCGATATCATGGAGAAATTCGTGGTTGATTTCATTAATGCACCCGATGGTCCCGTGGGATGCTCAGGTGATTTGCAAATGCTCTGTTTAACTGCTAATAATTTTCATTCATTTTTGAATTTGATGTCTTTTTCATTGTTATGGTTGTGATTGCTGTAATTGTGAATAATTTTCATCTCGGATATCAAGATTTAAACAATTTCTAAGGAAGCCCTCTGGCTCCTAATGTTGGTTATGTTACGAGTCTTGTGCTTATTCAAGGTTAGAGGTATTGATTTAATCTTCTTATTTTTATTAGGGTCTGAAAATGCTATCTTTTGCTCTATCTTTTGCCATTTCTCCAAGGCTTAATGTGAAAATTTTTTGAGTTGATTTGAAGTGGGGAGAACTGAATTGACAGTTTGACACTTAAATTATGGCATTAGGCGTCAATTCTTCTTCTAACATCCTCATTTTCCTTTCAAATGCCCCCAATATTTTTATTGTAACCAATGTAGATTCTGGTCGCATTATCTACAATATTGCTTAAAATTTGTGTCCTCTGGGAGTTTCTTCCTTTGGATTTTATTGTTTGAAAACATTGTCAAACAAATGAGAGGCAATGGATGCTAATAAAATTTTCTTGCCACTGCACCAGAAAATGAATTGGTGGTCTTTGGAGGAGGTCATGCAGCTACTATAGCAGTTCGTGCTGCAAAGAAGGGGTTGGTGAAGCCAAAAGCAATTGCTGCTGTTGCGCCAACCTGGGCTGGTCCCCTTCCTATTGTGTTTGGTCGAGATTCAAACATGGAGACAAGGTATTCTAAACACCAAAATTATGTTATGATTTATGAATGTGGAAAGCTTTAGGTTGGGGCATTTTAATTGAGATGAGAGGTCCATACATCATGCTGGATTTTCCTTTTGTGTTTGCCTTTTTAAATGGTTAGGGCCTTAGGGGTTGTCACTTAGGTGAACTGTCATTTAGCTCTGTTACCAAGTTGGTAATCATTTAGACTTAAATTTTAAGCTAATATGTAAAAGATCTAATTGAATCATGTACAACTAAGCTGTTCTCACATTGATACTTTATATTTGGGCCTATCCAGCATACTCAGAAATAATCTCATATTGATTTTTTATACAAGTTCAGATTTGCATTGGCCTCTTAGTTTTCTTAATGAAACATTCAAGTGGACATCTTAATCTATTTTCTTTGAAATTACCAGGTACGGGTTGCTCAGGGGCACCTTAAGGGCCCCAGCTGTTGGGTGGATGATGTATAACATGCTTGTAAGCAATGAGAAGGCAATACAATCCCAGTACAAGTCTCATGTGTATGCAAATCCTGACAATGTGACTCCAGTAATTGTTCAAAGCAGATACGATTTAACCAAAAGAAAAGGAGCTCGATATGTGCCTGCTGCTTTCTTGACTGGTCTCCTTGACCCAGTTAACTCCCGGGAGGAGTTCCTTGGACTGTTTGCTGACTTGGAGGGAATGATCCCAATTCTGGTTGTGTCAACCGAGGGATCTCCAAAGAGGTCAAAAGCTGAGATGGAAGCTCTTAGAGGAGCAAAAGGAGTGAGCAAGTTTGTTGAGGTTCCTGGTGCTCTTTTGCCGCAGGAAGAGTATCCAACTATGGTTGCAGAGGAGCTTTATCAGTTTTTGCTTGAGAATTTTGAAGTTAGTCCTTGAAATCATTCATTAATGGAGTGTAAAACACAATTGGGGGCAGAGGTATGTATTTTCTCGCCAGCGTAATCTTACTCATATTTCTGGATTTTAGGTTACCGAGGTTCTGTATACCGTATGCAGCACTATATCATCACAGCAAGAAGATTCTCATTTTGCTCGTTTGGATAACATGCAAGAGTTGATTAAATCTTCGAGGGCAAATATTAAAAATTATTTGCACCAGAAATTGCAAGAGTTGGTTGTTAATTGCAACTCGTGAGTTTTATGGACTTTCGTATGTTTTTTGCAGAACTTATAGACCTATTACATATTTTTTTGATACTACAAGGTTATATTAAGGGCAGACCAAACCATCATCTTTGAGCCAGGTTCTCTTGGATACTTATTATTTTTTATTGTGTTGGTTATAATTCCTGTCGCACATCTAATGCATATCGACCAATTAAGCATGTAAATCAATCACTAAAATAAAGTAAAAACTATAGAAAATAACACAAGGGAAATTATATTAAGGGATTTTCTAATGCATGGCCTTAAGTATTTTTAATTGAGTTATTTGCATCTGTAATTAATACTGCATAACATTTTTTTATCAAATTCAATTAAAATAAAATATAAAATGTAAAATTCTTAATTGTACAATATATATATAAAACGCTACTTTATGCATTAAATAAGGTATGCATTTATATATTTAATATATAATCTATACATAATAATAATATAATAATATATATCTATTATTTATTATATAATTATTATATACAATCTATATACATATAAAATATTACCCTATACATTAAATAGGATATGCATCTATATAATAATATATAATATAATACAATGATATATATTTATTATTTATTATATAATTATTAATAAACTATTCATCTTCTTTTTTCTAAAATTATACCGTTCTGAACTAAACTATTATATATGTTGGGTTTTGTGTTTATCTTTGATAGTAAAATTATGAGTGATGGCAATTGTTGTAATAATTTTAATAACTTAATGTATAGAAAGTAATAAAAAATTAATAATATGATATAAATTACTATAGTATTATTCCATGTCCAATCGTAAAATGAAGAATTGTAAATGAGTGTTTACCATTGTAACTGAAGATAATCTAATATGGTCTATTTTTATTAAATAAGGTATGCATTTATAATAATTATTATATAATTATTATATACAATTATTAATGGAGGGTAACGAAAATGAAGAACTGAAGTGGTTATAGTATCATTTCACGGCCAATCATGAAATGAAGAATTGTAAATGAGTAAATAATATTAAACAAATAGAAACGAAAAAGAAAACAAATAGACTTTAGATCTTAAGGTAAATCTATATATATATAATGCTACTCATAGATTAATTAAAATCTAAATATAAATATATTTTTTATTTATTTAAGGGAGAGTTGAAAAGGGGCATTTAATCTTATACCCTCACTATAACCAAATATTTTTTTTAATTAAGAAAAAAAAACTGAAATTTCATTTATTTCATTTCTTTTTAAACTCACACACCTCAATTCTCATTGCATTTCTTGGGTTGATTGTTCAGAATCATCCACAAGAATTGAAATGAATAGAAGCTGCGCATTTGTGAAAATAAAATTTGAAAATAGTTATGATTAGAATTTGTTTTCCATTCGGTACAATTCTGATTGATAATTTGCCACTTTTTTGTATAGCATTTTGGCTTCTAATTTCCATAAGTTTTCTACTCAGTAATTTTTTTATATGATATTTTTCATGTTATTTTATTTGTTAGATTACTATTTTTTACTTTTATTTCGATATATATGTTTTAACTATTTTTATTTTGTTACAAAACTATAGATATCCAACATATGCTGTTGAAAGCTTTAATTTTATTGGAGCTTATCTAAGATACGTGAGTCTTTTTTTAATTATATAAATATGAATTAGTTTTTATAAATTGTATATTTAAAATGATATTTTTTATTTTACTGTTAAGTTTATAGTTTACTATTACGTCATTTTAAAAGTTTAATTTCTTACTTGCATTTTTGGCTAAGTTTTATTTAATATATTTATAAAAAAAAAAGGTATTTTTATGGTTGAACAACAAGAAAAATGTGCAAAAATATCTATAAAATTATTTAAATATTCTCAGTGAATTACCCATTTATTTATACATATTGATTCATTAATGGTATTTAAGTCTTTTCAAAAGCATTCTTACACTTTTATCATATAGGTTAACTTGAAAATTTATATATATATATTATTAGTGTTTATTAGTTAAATCTGTAAAAGAATTAGGTGAAAAAACATTCAAAACGATATTATTTCCATAAAATACCATAAAAAAACTAAAATAGTCTTAAAAATTAGGATATTTTAGTTTTTAGGATGTTTTAGTTTTTTCAATGCAAATTTATTGAGAGAATGCAATTTTAAGATATTTTTTTTGTCCACCACTGGTTCCTCCTGCCATTTCTTAGCTGGAGGTGGTGGTAGACCTGACAATTTTTTACACAACCCATTAACCGGCCTATTACCCGTTCGTTTAAAACGGGTTATGGTCATATATTTATGATCGTGACTCATTAATGACCCATTAAGAGAACCCAATGGGTCATGGGTCAATAACGGGTTGACCCAATGAGTTAACGAGTTGACTCATCGGGTTAACGGGTTTGACCCGTTTATCCATTTAAAAATATAAAATTTTTTAATTTATTATTTATTTATTTTGTTTTCCAATTTCCAATTCCACCTAAACCTCTAATAATTGACTAATATTCCCTAATTAACTAATTGATCCTCTTGACTCATCATCTTCTAAAAGTAAAAATAATCCCACTCTACTCATAACTCACCTCCCGACCTTTCCTATTCTTACTTGCCTTAATACTCTCGAAGACTTTAACTCTTCAAACTTCAAGCTCTTCTCATATTCTTCAACCTCCATAGTTCATACAGCTTTTAACTTTCAAGCTTCGACTCCACCTTTTCTCTTTAGTCTTTAACATTATTTTAGACTTAGATCTTAGTCTGATCGAGTTACCATTGTGTCCACTCAGCCTTTTCTTTTTTTCTCCTATGAGTCCGACAAGTGCTCTTTTTGTCACCAACTTTCCTCTCTAAATACTTCAAGGTAAGTTATTTACTTATTTATGCTTTTTAGTTTTCTTTCCATTCCAAGTAAAAATTTTACTCAATTTTCTCCTTTACTTACTTAGATGCATTCAATTGATTATTCTTTGAAAGCAATGACCAAAACAGATATGTTCTAATGGGGTTTATGTTTTTTGGTTGTCATGCTACTACTGCTTTTTTATTTTTTTTTTGCTATTGAGATTTATAAGTGTTGTGTTCTTGAATTTGATTAGCGCTGTTCTTTGAAGGGAAATAAAGAAGGTGATTCTATAAATATATATATTAAATTAATAAAAAAAATATTTTTATAAGATGTTGAATTTCTTTTTTAAATCTTTTGAATAATTTTCTTTGAATGATAATAGGTACAAATTATAGAGAAAACAAATTTAATTGGGTCAGCCCGCGGGTTGATCCGTGACTCATGATAGGCGGATTAGGGTCTGCCTTTATTGACCCATGACCCGTTTTAACCCAGCCCGTTTTGACCTGTTACCCGTTTTGACCCGACCCTAACTTGACCCAACCCGCCCGTTTGCCAGGTCTAGGTGGTGGTGCTACTTCTGCTTCCATGGATTCCATATCGAAGAAAGAAAGATAAATATTAATTCTTAGTAAATAGAGATAATTTATCACTTATTATTTTATCCATCACATTTATGTTGTTTTATAGGAGTACTAGAAAGTGGTTTATGTTGTTTAATATAGTAGAAAGTAATATGAATAAAGTGAGAAATATTTGAATGGATTAAAAGTTTAAAATTTTAAATTATAAACATTAAATTTTAATTTTGATTTAGTTGAAAAAAATTAAAAAGGAAAATAAGATTATTTTATTTTGTACAATATATATAATATTTTTCTTATATATAATATATATCCAATAATGATTTTTTATATTTTGTGTATTCAAAAGATTAATGTTTTTATAAGAAGGGAGAAGGATTTGGTCTCCTAACAAAAATTATTACCTTAAAAATTATGTACAATGTTAGATTCTATATTTAGAGAAAATATATAATTAACAACATAGACAATAGATCATAAGCAAAGAAGAAAAAATATTTAAATTTAAATTTTAAACTAAATTTTTTATAGAATTTATTAAAATATATTTCAATATCCTACATAAATGACCTTATTTTTATAAAATTCTTATTTCAATCAAAATTTTGTCCATACA